CTTAGCATAGAGTTTGGCACATTATATGTCCTCAAAACATGTTAGCTACTATTACTGTTTTTATGAAAAGAAATCCTGAGACATGTTCTTTAAAAAGTGCTTCAACCACATGCAAATATAGAACCATCTATTAGCAATGCATTAAAGTTATCTTTCAGCATAACTTACTGGGTGATCATTTTCTGGTTTTCAATAATTTATACACGCATGTGAAAAATTTTTCATAATTTCACCGACTGCCTCTCTCAAACTCTTAAGTTTAAAAAACTAGAAAAGCAATCTGTAGAACACATAAAATTCCCTTTCACACCAAATAAATGAAAAAAAAAAAATCGTTTACATAAGCCAGGAAGGAAACCGCTCAGCAAGAAAGAAGAGAGAAACCTATGATGACTAACATGTCATTGCAAGTTTTAGACGTACTACTGTCTTGAAAGGAATTTACTTCATTAACCCACAATAAACTGAATTAAAACAAAGGTTTACCCTTTTGAAAAGTTTCTCTTTCTCTAGAAGAAAACTAAAATCCATCTCTCTCATGAGGCCTTTCTTCACTGAACCCACCCCTGGTTTTTATCACTTTGGGGCCTTTTCCACCCCCCAGCCCCCCTTTTCCATCCCTTTGTGCTGCTTTGTGGTTGCTGCTGAAGCACACATTTGCCCTCCAAAGGTTGGTTAAAGGACCCACAGGGTAGGGAGGGGATCCTGTGCTACTTCTGTAATCCTACCCTACTCAGGCTGGCCACTGAAAGGGCAACTGCATGTCTGTACGGGGGAACATAGCCAGTTATAATCTAAAACCTGGAAAGAACTGGCTTGGCATCCAAAAGAGAGTGGTGGTGGGTCTCTGAAGATGCCTAAATGGATTATGAAGCATTTACTGAGCAGTTAATGACTCACCAGCATTAATGTTCAATAACCAAGTAAAATCATTTATATCACAGCAAGCTGACATCGTGCTTAAAGCCAAAGGCTTGAAAAGAGAAGTGCCACAGTTTTCAACCACTCAACTGAGGATAAGAATTTTAATATTTCCAAAACCCGTGATCATGCTAATAGTGTTTCTTTAGCCTAATCATGTGAGGGTTAAGAGCATGGGCTCCAGAGCCCTACTGCCTGTTCTGAACCTCGCCTCTGCCACTTACCAGCCGTATAACCTTGGACATATTATTTAACTTTCCTGTGGTGGTTTCCTTATCTATAAAATGGAGATAAACCTCACAAAGTTATTGTGAGCATTAAATGAATTTATAGGAGAAATTACTAAAACCAAGCCTGGAATTTGGTATATATTTCATAGTGTGAACTATCATTTGAATTATAAGCATCATTATTAGAAATAATTCATCACTATCTCATCTTATTTAATTGAGTGCATTAAAAGATACACACTCCAAAGAAGCAAAGGCACTTTGGATTTGGTTTGCTATAAACTCTTAAAATCTGGTTTCATATAAATTTCCACATTTTGACAAGCAAAATGGAACAGCTCCATTGGGTTTAATTACTATTCTTTCTCATACTCATTTTAAAGCTTCAAGAAAACAGCTATTTCAACACTGAGTCTGGTTTTCTACTTAGTTTTCTGAAAGGATTTATTGAAAACCCCAAGTTGGTTGGAACATTCCTACTGCTTACCTTTCAGTAGAGTAACTTTGTATGAGTACAGTGGATATCCATTTGGTTTCAATTATCGAATACACAAACACTTCATTGTATAATAAATGGAAACAGGCTTCACAACAATCTAAAAGTCCATTGTTTTTGTGCCTTGATTTTTCTATTCTACTTTTAACTCTGTGGTGAATGGTTTCTTGTCCCCTACAACAAACACTTCTCAACTTATTGTGAATATCCCAGCAAGCAGCTGCTATTAATTTTTAAAAAGCATAATACAGCATATTCAAGTTAGTCTTCTGTCTCAGTCTGCTCAGGCTGCCATAATAATACCAGGTGGGGGTGGCTTACATAAGGGAAATTTATTTCTTCATAGCTCTGTGGGTTGGGAAGTCCAAGATCAAGGTGCCAGTCAATTTGCTGCCTAGTGGGGTTCTCTTCCTGGCTTGCAAATGGCCACCTTCTCACTGTGTCTCATAAGGGAGAGAAAGCTCTGGAATCTCTTCTACTTCCTATAAAAGTACCAACCCTATTAGTTAAATGAAGTCATGACTTCAACTCCTCAAAGGCCCTTTCTCCAAATAAAGTCACATTTGGGGTTAGTGCTTTAACATATGAATTCAGAGGGACACAAACATTCAGTCCACAAACATCTTCTAAACATTTAAATACAAAACTCAAATTCAAAGTCATAATATTTTAGCTACATTACTTTTTTTCCATTCGTATATGGAAAACCACCAGGTAAAATATAATTTAGCTTTTAACTCAGACTGAAAAATCTGGATGCAAAACTCAGTTATCAAGTTTATTAGCACAGGATAATAAAAGCTCAACGACTTCCTCTGACTTTTCATTACACTTCATTGATGGAACTGACCACCTACATGAAATGATTTTACCTTTTTAAATGTACCCTGAACACTGGCCTACTTTCTTAAAAGCATGTGCACTTAGGCTGTCTGGGATTCAAGCTGATGTTTGGTCCAAAGAATCATACCAGTAGTAACTGTTATTCAGAAAATTAGAAGAACTTCACTTTCTCCCTAGAAAGATAAGGACTGCAAAAGCTGACAGGGCCTTAGCTTGTCCTGGTTCTCAAATACTTATATTTTCCAGATGTGAAGACTGAAGTACTCAGAGGGTGATTAACTTGCTCAGGTACTAAAACACAGAACTCCTGACTACAGGCCAGGGTGCCAGTGGCCACACTCCAATGCCACCAAGCCACAGGTCTCCTCACATCAAGGAGGAAGGGAGTTCCCAGCATCTGGCAAACACTACAGGTCTTACTGGGCAGCAACAATTAAGGACCAGAGCTTTGATCTCACTCATGCCTTGACTCTCCAAGTGTGGCAATATCCAAAATAAGAATCACTGTTTCTTCCAATGTCTTGGCTTTTCGTCTTTCTGCCAAATGATAACTCCAAGTAAATAAATTCTTCTTTCCTACTTAGCTCCTTTGTAGATAGCAACAGAAATATTTATAACTCCTCCTGGGTCTGCTTTCCAAAACCACATGACCTTGACACTAGGCTGGAATCTATGTATGAGGAAGGACCACCTCCCAAAAAAAGCAGAATTTTTTAGGAGGGATGGCCCTTTGCAGCACAGGCTTTCCCAGCTAGTTTAGTGCTCTAGGAACCCATTAGCATCCATGTACCACCAAGGGTTGTTGTGAGAGGTTGCATTTGGCTTCAACAAATTTTGGGGAGAGAGTCTTTCAGGGCATTTGCCCATTTCATGATGGGTGATTTACAAGTGCACCTGCCCAAACAGCACGGAATGGTTAGCAGTTTTTGACTAAAATTGGCATGACCCCCACGTCCCATCCTCCCTATTCACCCGATTTTGTCCCGGTAACATTTTTTTGTTTGTTTGTTCCCCTGGATGAAAAAATGTCCTTAATGGGAAATGTTTTGCTGATGTGGAAGAGGTGGGGAAAAAAATGGCAGAAACACTAAAGGACGTCAACATTAATGAGTTCAAAAACTGCTTTGAGCAGTAGAAAAAGTGTCTCAGTAGGTGTATTGCATCACACAGAGGGTACTTTGAAGGTGACTGGAGTTTAAACATGTAAGAATACACAATTTTTTATAAATAAATACTGGAGTTTTTTGGGGTCCCCCCTCATAAACAGCTCTTAAAGTACTCTGTTCATTATAGACTTCTTATAGTACAGTCTTCATGACTTGGTGATAGGGTTGGAAAATATAATCTAAAGGTATTAAATTGTAGAGGGGTAAAGAGATCTTTTAGGATTTGCTTGATTTTATTAGTTTCTATAAAATAGTCTCATGTGTAGACACATAACTCATATTTTTATAAACTTACTTCTAAATCGATTTGACATGTCTTTAATTTGCTCAGGGTTGTACCTGCAGAAATAAGGGGTATTCCCTGTAGAATGTTCTCAGTCATCTGGAGTGTCTAGCAGACTTTTCATCTTATGAAATCGGGCTGACTTTTCTATTTCCTGTTCTGATTTGCAACATAAAGAAGTCTATACATCTGCCAAGTCTATACATTAACAGCCACTCTTGAAGTTCTCAAATTTCATCAGCCTACTATGTATTTAAAACTACAACTTCAAAAATGCAAGCCAACAAAAATAAAAGTTCATATTAGAAAAAGTTGAAGTTTGTAGTCACCTTCATATCCCTGTAAATCTGGAATACATCTTCCAGTAAATTTTTAAAAAAATTAATCTCTTTGCATGTGGTGAGGATACATTATGAATCTACTATACAATACTTCAGTATTGTTGAGTACTTAGCCATTTATAACAAAAATATTTTAGGCTGGGCATGGTGGCTCACACTTGTAATCCCAGCACTTTGGGAGGCTGAGGCAGGAGAATCGCTTGAGCCCAGGAGTTTGAGACCAGCCTGGGCAATATAGTGAGACCTCGTCTCTGAAAAAAATACAAAAATTGGCTGGGCATGGTGGCAGACACCTATAGCACCAGCTACTCAGGAGGCTGAGACAGAAGAATTGCCTGAGCCCAGGAAGTCAAGACTGTGGTGAGCCAGAATCATACCACCGCAATCTAGCCTGGGCAACCCTGACACTCATACACACACACAAAATTAAATTAAATGATTCACGTTTACAACAGCTACTCAACCGTGTATTTAGGTATGCATCTCTCTCAAAAGCTTATAAATTGGTTTATGCACATATCTCTCTCCCCAGCTAGTCTTAGCATTGCTCAAAGATAAAGGATGTATCGTCATCTTCTTCTTCTACCTTCTCTCTTTAGGAAGCTGGCCCACAAAAGGCTAAATGCTTTAGTGACAGAATGTGTTAGTCCTATAACCAGAACTGTCTTTCTAATTCAACATTTAAGTAATTCACACGCTGTTGAACTATTTTATTCTTACCAGAACTGGACACACGCCTGATCCTCTGGGGCGATAAGGCTCGATCAGAATTGAGATTTCTACTGTCGCTGTTCCGCCTCAAACAGGAAGCAGAAGGCCCAACTTTGGCTTTTGGACCAGGTATTTTCCTCAAATTGCAGGAGTCAGGCTTGGATATCTTGGATATCTTCCTACCTGGAGTTGTCGTTTTTGAAGCAGAACGCTGTGAAAATAACAGTTAAGATTTTAGACCAGATCATACTTTCCCCATACTATTTCCCGTAGTGTTAACAATGTGAAAAAAACTATGCCTACCTGAATGGGTATGCCAGAGAAGTATAGTCTCGTCCCTTGGTTCCATAGAGTACTGGTTCCAGAACACCCCAAGGATACCAAAACCCACATATGCTCAAGTCCCTGATATAAAATGGCACAGGATGTGCATATAACCTATGTATCACCTCCCCCATACTTTAAATCATCTCTAGATTACATATAATATGTAATACAATACCTGCATATTACTTCTTTTCTGTGGATTCAACATAGCACTTGGCATGTGGCAAATACAAGTCTTGCTTTTTGGAACTTTGTGGCATTTCTTTTTCCCCGAGTATTTTCAATCTATGGTTGGTTACATCCACAGATGCAGAACCCACAGATGCCGAGGACTGACTGTATTTAACTTTCATTTTTGCTATGAAGCAATTAAAACTCTTTACAGTTTATTCAATTCATCATGATCTGCCTTTGTATCCATTAGTGAGACTGTTCTCAAGATCACCAGTGCCACAAGTTTAAACTCAAGCTACACTGCTGCATCCCAAAACTATGTGTCCAAGTCAACACTCTCTCCTGAGTTTCCCAAATCCTTAACTTCTTCCTGCACCTCCCCACTCAGCATCCCTAAGGCATTTTTTCCTAACTTACAGACATATAACCCTTACACTACCAAAATTACCATTCTAAACTCTAAATACATGTATTGCTTATTTAATCCTCATAATAATCATACCTCATTCTATCACACCTCATTTTACAGAAGAATGACATGAAGCACTTCCTAAAGTTAAACTTACTTTACCCATCCCTTTTAAAATGTATTTCTTCCCATATTCACCACAACATACCCAGACACCCAACATGAACAATGAAAGCTATTTCTGGGTGCTTTCTTTCTTACCTCTACAACCCTCTTTTCCATCTGCCCTAGTGTAGGCCAACAGTGTTTCTCATGAGGATTACTGAAACCATGTCCTCAGGACTCTAACTTCTAATTCATCTTCCATTCCTCTGCTGGGGCATTCTCTCTAAAACTCAAATAGGGACGGAAAGCTTTACCTCTTGCATCCAGATAAAGTCAAATCTTTTTTAGAAGGCATAAAAAGCCCATCTAGATGCAGCAGCCCCTGCCACCCTCTTCAGCTTATTTCTTACGGGTCACAGTTCTACACTCCCAGTTTCCATCATACTCACTACCTGGAATTCCCCATATGAGAGCATCTTCACCTGTTTCTTGCTCTTTGCACATGGTTCCCTTTATCCAGAATACTTACCCTCAAGTTCCAGCTGATGACCAACATGACATCTCCCTTCAAAGCCTTCCTTGACAATCCTCCCCATCGCTGTCACCGCAGCACAGGAATCTATTCGTACTCCCAATTTAGTATTTAATATACCCTGCTGGTTTACTTTCTAATATTATCCACAGTTCTAGGCACAACATCTGGCCAGGGGCTGAGTTTGTTTTCCCCCCATCTCCTAACTCTCACTACCATATATAGCCTACAGGAGGCACTCAATAAATATTCTCATTCTACTTATAGGAAAGGGGAGCCTACGCCTTGCTCAAAGTGTAACACTGTAAAATACAATTTGCATTTCCCCTTCAAATAAAAAAAAATTGAGCCTCGTAGAGACTAAGTAATTTGCCTGAGGTCATTTTGCCAGTGAATGATGGAGCTACAACTTGAAACTACTCCAAAATCCACGCTCGTGTCCTCAATGTTTCATATTCCCCATTATTACCCTTCTTTGTTTAATAAATCTTAAAAGTCAACTTCCAATAGAGATATGCAAAGCCCCATGCTGATGGCAGTTGAAGTCAACAAAAAAGGGGAATTCAATACTAACTCAGTAGACCAATATCCCAAGAGAACAGCTGGAGGTCATGTTTTGGCACTGGAAAACAATACAGAATTGGCCAAAAAAAGCAGGTGACTGCACACAAACTAACAAAGATCTTCTGTCTCTTCGTAGGTTAAATTAAAGCTGGCTAAATTAATCTCCCCGGGAAAATCTTCTTTTAAAAAGTAAACCAAACTTCTTATCAACTCACAAAAGTGAATCTGCAGCAAGTCATTTATTTTGCCTTTCAGATCCAACATTCCACAAAATTTGAGACTCTATGGGGTATAAAGGGCCAGGATTCAAGTCAAGGAACCTGGGTTTGAATCCCAGTTGTACTATCTCCCAGCTGTGAGCTCACTGAAGCATTAAAATGTCAATAACAATCACCCTGTTGTTCCTGGGAAGAGTAAATGACAATGTTCATAAAGCACCTGAGCATTACTGGGAGAAGTCAATGGCATGATATACATAAGGCAGCTGAGCAAAGCGCTCAGCCCAGAGCAGGCAGTGAATAAACATCGATTCCTTCCCTTTCAGATAATTTTCCACTCCCTTTATCTAACACACTATCACAAACACATAATCTTGATAAAGGAGAGCTACACTTAGCACCCTGCATCAAATTAAAATCAAATTCCTTCTTCCAAATAAGAAGGCTTCTGAAGATTGAGATAAATCCTGACCACCAAACAGCTGTGAGGTTGTGGGCAGCAAACTCAAGGCCAAAGGCAGGCTAAGACCAACAGAGCACACTGAAAATTGACATCTCTCCAGGACTCTTCATAGAGCCAGGGCAGTCAGAACACTTGGGTACCACGGAAGTGACCAACAGACTTGATGCTTGAGTAAAACATGCAGCAAATGTGCGTTCATTCAGCTCTCTACAGTAAGTGCAAAGCCTGGGCCTATGATGGTTGGCCCGGCCCCTCCCTCTTTCCCAGAGACATATGGAGATGTCTGAGAGGTGAACTAGCAAAATTAGAGGAAACTGTGCTTAAGAAATGATCGTGAAAAAAGAATGAGTTCTTTATACCAGTTGATAAGTAAAATCGCCAGCACTGAGACTATGGGACAAGCCTTCAGGACTTACAAAGTACTTCATATCTAATGATGAATCCCAACTGCCAGATTCCTGTGGATAAAAGTGTTTCTTCTCCTTGACGTAGCAGGCTCCACTGCAACCTGATGATTCTATTATCTTATTTCAATACCACACTGTAAGCCTGAAAAACAAGCTTTCATGCCACACATGGGAAATATAAGACTAAGACTGAATGCACACCTCAGAAAAACCTTTAGTTTCAAAATTATACAACTTTTTTTTTTTTTTAATTGGAGCCTCACTCTGTCGCTCAGGCTGGAGTGCAGTGGCACACTCACAGCCACCACATCCTCGACCACCTGGGCTCAGGCGCTCCTTATGCCTCAGCCTTCCAACTAGCTGGAACTACAGCTGCAGGCCACCATGCCCAACTAATTTTTTGATTTATTGTAGAGACAAGGTCTCACCAAGTTGCCCAGGCTGGTCTCGAACCTGTGGGCTTAGGCAATCCTCTCACCTCGACCTCCCAAAGTGCTGGGATTATAGGCATGAGCCATGGCGCCTGGCCACCAAATTCTATTCAAGACAAAGTTCACTAAAAAAACTTCATGCTAGTTTTTTGGGGTAGTTGGAGAGTGATACACAATAAAAGTTTCCCATAAATCAAAGAGGACTAAATGTCTTGTTTCTATATTATAGAAATATTATAACATCTATAAATAATAAACTAAAAATGCTGATTAGAATTAAGAAGTTACTGTAATTTAGTTTAGCAAAATATTAAAATTATAAGTGATATAAAAGTTTTCTAAGTTCAGCTTCAAGAGAGCATAAAAACAAAATCTGAGTGCTGAAATAGTGGACAAACTCAATTTGGAAATCACTGTGTTGTACTATTATTCCCAACATAGAAGATTTATTGTTAAAACCAAAACTTCTCTAAACTGACCCAGCTCTGGAATATCTTCAATCTTTCCTAACCTTATCTCCTAAAAGGAGCTGACAATTCCCTCCTGCAGCCCCTACACACCCTGAAAACATTTCTAAAATAGCCCTTCAGCATTTGCCGCACTATATATTTCATTCCCCTTAGCTGCGAGCCCTCTGAGGGCCAGGCTGTCTGTCACACCTTCCTTCTTCCCCTGGCACCTCACTCCATTCCTAGCCCAGAGGACAAGCACCCAAGGACACCCTGTCTAGAGCTGAAAATACACCTAAGTCTCCACTGCCAAAAATAGGGCTGAGGACACATACACAAAATCCAACAGTGGACTGTCGGATGTTTTTAAAATGCAGAAAACTATTTCTTCATATTATTCTAACAAATAAATGCATGTTTAAATAAAAATAACCTCTGAACTGCATATGAATTATTTATTCTTTAAATAGAACTATCTAGATCCCCCCCACATATTTGACAGATGCTATGAAACACACACTGCTTTTCCACTATACGTGAATAAACCGGATTTTATGTACCAGGAATCAATACAGTAGGGTTGCAAGAGACCTTAGAAATCCACTAGTTCAATTGTTTCACCTTTGGGTCTGAAAAATTACTTGCCCAAATCACATTAGCTGTCAGATGCAGAATGAAGAACACTCCTGCTCACAGAAGAGAGCTCTACTTCCTGGAGCTGCCTTCTCAACAAGAGACCTGGAGTTTATTTTTATATTGACATGTTTACCAGCACTTTGGCCATTTCTTAAATGTGGTCCAATACATTTTTAAGCTTATAAACAAATTTGTTTTCCAGACAATAAAATATACCTTGATTATATCAGGTATCTCACTTCAAACAACTAACTGTACTAAAATATTAAAGTAACTTTTTAAGCATACAATTAAAATGAACATTGATACTCAACACAAAATACTGAAATTGAGGATTTTTTCCAATAAGCAGATTTGGTATATATTGTAACCTATTACTGCTCTCATATGGACTGACTCTGATATGTATTGTAATACCTAAAAGTAAATTTGCACACACAGTTCTGCAACAGTACTGACTGATAGATAACTAATTGCTAATATATCTCAGTTTTCTTCAGCATTCCCTAAGGCATACAAAAAAAAATTTCACTTACCAAAAACAGAGAACCATACTGAAAAGTCTCGTTCATAATGTCCTGTTTCAGCTCTTGTTTTTCCATAGGTGTCTCATTTTCTTTTTCACCCTTCTTTTCAGAGCTAATCCCATCGATGTTGGAGACACATGTTACTTGCAAACATTCTGCACTTTCCATTTTCACAGGGAGCATGCCTTTGATCTTCTGAAAAAACACAGCTACGGACCCAGTCTCGCATGCTGAATTAGAAGAACTTGCTTTGTCAACCTCTTCCTGATTCGATTTCATGGCAGATGTTGTTCTTGGAACCTTGTGTGAAGCATTTTTAGAATGAGTTGTAACATGCACAGCCTGGCTAGTAATGAGTTTATTAAACTGCTGCTTATGCGTCTTGTTAATTAGGATTTCTGCTTTTGTGTCTGCATTCAAGTCGGATCTTGGTGTTCTGCTCAAAACTGTCGGCTGTCTTGAGGAAGACACTGAGGGTGATGAGGCACTGGTCAGCTGAGGTTTGGGTGTGACCTTTGATAAAGTTGCATCTTTGGACTGCAACACTGGTCTAGACATAACTTTTGCTTTGATATTCTTGAAGTTTGGTCTTGGGTAACTTATAATTTCAGTTTTTCTAACTTTGCCGCCTATTGGGGTATTTGCTTTGGTTGTTGATTTCCCTAGATTCGGTTTAGACATGTTCGTAGGAGCCTCCTTCAGGTTTGATGAATTTTTAATCTCTCGATTATTCTTCTCTACTTTATTACATTTCTCTTTGGCTTCAATAGGTGAAATAGAAAAGGTCACATTTACGGATTCCAGGACTGGTGTTGACATGCAAACTGTGTTATCTCTGCTAATGACCATATCATTTGCATCCCAGGTCAGTTCAAATGATGAAACCACTTTTTGTCCTGGTGGGCTACTTGGTATCAATTCTGAGGTCCGATTTGGGGTTCCCAAATCTTTTTCACTAGAGGCCATTTGTGTGTCTTCAGTCACAGTGACTTTATGCTCTGGATTCAGCACTGGGACTTTGCTTTCATCAAAAGCTGGCACCACTAAACGGCATTCGTCATCAATAAGACAATTAGACACTGTCTGTCTTAGATTTTGGCCCATTTCCTTTCGCCCATATGAGCTCTGTGAATGTGTCTCACTATTTGGTTCATCTTTAGATAAACAAAAGAACTCTTGTACCACAGACCCACTAGGGACTTCCATGCCATCAGAAACTGGTGTTAGAGCTTGTATCTCTTTTTCTCCAACTAGTCTTTGCTGTGACCCATCTGTGTTCTCACTGGTGACCTTTCCTGAAGAATACTGACGCTGCCTTCCAGTATCTGGAACAAAAATCTCAGTTTGCATCACAACATCAGAAAACGCTGTGTAAGTCGTGTTTGGGGCTTCTGATGGTGTGGCTTGGGGGTTTTCAAAGCTCCCTCTATCATAGCCAGTTTCTCTTGCATGTACCTTGTCAGAAGGGGAAGATGTCCAAGTGGAACAGGATAAAGATGTATTTCTACTTCTCCTACTGGTTGGTGGCAGCCTTCCAGTGGTACGCAAAGATTGACTCTCTTCCATGGCACGATGTTTTAAAAAGGTGCATTTAACTTTATCCACTTCCAAGTCAAATGTTTGGTTTAGCTCTAAGGCAGCAGAGTAGTCTGCACAGTTCAAGTCCTCAGTAGGCTTCCACACAAAAGGCAGAGATGGTTTAACCCTCTGGTCCTGAGCTGCTTCTAGGGAATAACAATTGTTATGCAGATAGTCGGGTTTCTCATTTACAAGTGTAGGAGATTGAAAAATGGATTCTTCATGCATATCTAACACCTGCTTACTAATAAAATCACTTGAAGACTTTTGGTCATGAAGTACTTTAACACACTGGTGGTTTAAAGAAATATTTTCACCACTGTCCACAGCAGGGTCAGTTTCATAATCTACCACCATGTCCTCTGGATTGGCAGAATTCCAGTTCACATTACTGGTTGAAGAGTTGTGTGTAGGTGGTGATATGGGGTTGTATGTGTATGTATTTCCATTTTTATCACTGATAAATAAGGTTTGAAATTCATTTTCTCTCTTATCATCTAAATTATCATCATTCATCCTGAATAATAACTTTATACCTCTGCTATTTTCTTCTTCAATTTCTTTCAAATGACAGCAAAGGAAAAACTGTTTGTCTTCTAAGTTTCTCAATACAGTTGAAAGTTTTTTAGTCTAAGATGCTCTGAAGATGATTTATGGCTTCCTGAAAGAAATAAAATGTTTAACTCAAGTAAATATGAGGAAAATTAAGTTACCCTTGGATTAATTTCAATCATTCTATTTTCACATTTAGAATTCACAACTATTGATCTGACAATAATTTTTCCTTCTTGTTGGTTGACAGAGTTACCATTCACCTAATTAAGTTATGTCCTAACTTATGTCTGTTGTCCTAGCATAATTAATAATTATGTCCTTTTCATTCTCAGAAGGGATCTCTATTGTTTCCGTGGAGTGATTATTATCAGACAGACTATAAAGGACCAACAAATGAGCTAAAGACCAATAAAGATTCAGGAAATTGGCTATTCTCCTTCCCTGTTTTCACTCCTATCTTAAACATGACATTTCCAAAAGGAAAAAAAAAAGTTGTTGATTCTTAGAAGTTAAAGTGGCACTCTGTTGAAAGTCCCTCAAAATGTTAAACAGAGAGTTACCAAATGCTATGGACTGAACTGTGCACCCCTCCCATTCATTTGTTGAAGCCCTAGTTCCTCCCCCCCAACTATATTGGTGATAAAACCTTTAAGGGCATGATTAAGGTTAAATGAGATCATAAGGGTGGAGGGCTGATCAAATAGAACTGGTGCCCTTATAAGAAAGGGAAAGAACACCTTCCTTCCACTCTCTCTCTCTCTCTCTCTCTCTCTACCAAGTTAGGACACAGGGAGAGGAGAAACAAAACTCTCACCAGAAACCAAACCCTGAAAAGAACCTTGATCTTCGACTTTCCAGCTTCCAGAACTGTGAGAAAATAAATTTCTGTTGTTCAGGCAGCACTAAGAGACTAAGACACAATATGACCCAGAAATTCTACTTCTAAGTATCTGCTAAAGAGAAATGAAAGCATATATTCCAAAACAGCCTGGTACTGGTACAAGAATAGGCACACAGACCTAGGGAACAAGATAGAGATTCTGGAAGCAAAACCTCCATTTATCATCCAACCCATATTCGACAAAGCCTCCACCAACAATCCCTGGGGAGAGGAGAACCTATTCAGTCAGTAAATGGTGATGGGAAAACTGGCTGACCACATGCAAAAGATTGAAACAGGACCCCTACCTATCACCATACACAAAAATCAACTCTAAACGGATCAAAGACCTAAATGTAAAACCTCAAACTATAAGAATCTTAGAAAACTCAGGAGATCCTTAAGGGAATCAGAGTAGGCAACCAATTCCTTATCAAAACCCCAGATGTCCAAGTCATAAGAGATAACATAGACAAGTGGAACGTCATTAAACTGAAAAGCTTCCGCAAAGCAAAAGAAACCATCAAGAGAGCAGAGAGAGAGCCCACAGAATGGAAAACAATATTTGCCAAGTGTATATCTGACAAAGGCCTAACATCTAGGATCTACAAGGAAAAAAGTGGGCTGAAAGGAAAAAAACTAACAGTCCCTTTAAAAAGTGGGCAAAAGACATGAATAGACACTTCTCAAAAGAAGACATATGAACAGCCAACAGACACATGGAAAAATGCTCAGCCTCACTAATCAGAGAAATGCAAATCAAAAACACACTGTGATACCACCTAACTCCAGTAAGAATGGCCATCATTAATAAAACAAACAACAACAGATACTGACAAAGATACTGAAAAAAGGAATGCTTCTAAACTGCTGGTGGAAATGCAAACTAGTTCAATCTCTATGGAAAACAGTGTGGCAATTTCTAAAAGAACTACAAATCAACCTTCCATATGACCCAACAATCCCCCTATTGGGAATATACCTGAAGGAACTCAAATCATTCTACAAAAAAGATACTTGCACATGCATATTTATTGCAGCACTATTTACAATCGCAAAAACATGGAACCAACCATGCTGCCTGTCAAAACTGGACTGGATAAAAAAAAAAAGTGGAACATTTACATGATGGAATACTATGCAGCCATAAAGCAGGACAAACATATGGACTTCACAGCAACTTGGATGGATTTAGAATCCATCATACTCAGTGATCTATTACAGAAACAAAGAACAGAGTACTACATGTTCTCACTCATAAGTAGACCTTGAACATCTACCATAGTACCACAAGAAAGGAATTGGCAGTAGAGGGATACTGCCAGGGGAGGAAGGGGAGGAAACACAGCATCAATAAGGGTACCTGATCTCAAACCAGGCAAAGTGGGAACCTACAGGAGACCCAAGTTTTACCTGTACGATGACCACTTGTATACCTAATCCTGAATTGTGCATATCTTTAAAATATAATTTTTTAAAAACACACAAAGTCACACAAAAACTAGTACACAATATACACAATTCTTACTATAAGCATTATCTGTTACAGTAAAAAAGTAGAAACAACCCAAATGTCCTAAAATGGTGAACAGATAAGAAAATGCTAAATATGCATACAACAAAATATTATTTGGCAATAGTAAGGAATGAAATATTGATACATGGTACACCACGAATACAGCATTACAACTTGAAAATATTATGCCAAATAAGTCAGTCGCAAAAGTATACATACTATATGATTGCATTTACATGAAATGTCCAGAATAGGCAAACCTATAGAGACAGAAAGTAGGTCAGTGGTTCTTAAGACAGGGAAAGGGCAGAGGGAAAGGGAATGGAGAGTGGCTGCTTCTTTTGGAGGTAATAAAAATGTTCTAAAATTAGATTATGGTGACGGTTGCACAATGCTGTAAATATACTGAAAACTATTGAACTGTACACTTAAAAATAAAACCTTTAAAAACATCCACAGAAACTTTCAAATCCAAGGATTTCTGCAAATAATGAAAGTTTTATAATGCTTTTTGGTCACAGAAGTGTGAAAGGTCCAAAGGTTCAAACTAAGACAACAAGTGGGCCATACAGACACATTCACTTGAATTGAATTCTAGTCCTAGGATTCAATGTCAGTCAGATGTCACAGTGCTGTTCTGAAGAAATAAAATATCCATGAGGGGAAAAAAATGACACTCTGTGTGTGACCTACAAATTTCTGAATTAAGAGTAGTTCTCATTTTTCTATTTTGCAATGTTTTCTCTGTATTCAAACTTCAGTGGCCTGAATAAAACCAGGAGAATAGGAACTATGGAAGAACTGAAACGATCGGTTTTCTTCACTAACAGTGCTCTGTGTGTTTCTGGCTTAGCATCCTGAAACCAGCCTTTAAGGGAATAAAGGCTGCAATGTTTATCTCAACAGCATGTTCACACACATACACATTCAAAAAGAGATTCTGAATCCTCAGATAAGGGCTGCACGCCTTATATACTGATGGAAGGTGTAAACTCATTAACTCTTTTCACATATAGCTTTTTAGTTAAAAGAAATGATTGAAGTAATTGTTTATTGGATAGAACCTCAATAAAAACTTCTGTGAAACACAAATTAACATTTTAGATCCTCTGGTATAAAATATGCTCAAGTTCAATGTTTAAAACAAGAAGTACACTTATTCATTTCTAGACTTATATGCATGAGATATAATTTCCAAAAGCACTAAATATATTATACCTTTCTGCTCTCATGAAGGCCAATAATCAGTTAAAGAATTCTGGGATAAGTAAATATGGGTAAAGAGCATCACAAACAAAAGCCTCAGCCTCCCAAGTAGCTGGGACTACAGGTGTGCCCCAAAAAGCCTGGCTAATTTTTTTTTTTTTACTTTTTGTAAAGACAAGGTCTTGCTATGTTGCCTAGGCAAGTCTCGAATTCTTGGGCTCAAGCAATCCTCCAGCCTCAGCGTCCCAAAGTGCTGGGATTATGAGGCAGGTTATTTAGTGCAAGTTAGACATAGATAGATATTTCTTGTAGGCAAGTTTAAATTAAAATAGGGTAAGCATTCAAACATTGTTTCTATCAGTACACAGCCTTCACCCAATCACCAGGCACACCAGACCTGACCACCTTGTGGGCTGAGATGTGAATCTATCCGTACAATAAATCACAGAAACGATAGTGAGTTACTCAAAACACAGACATGAGGTTCCAAGAAAGGCTCAAATCTAGTTAGGCAATAACTTTAATTATTTAGAATGTCCTTAAAAGATTGAGAGGTGGTAATCAAAGCTCGTGGCCAAACACCTGCAGCTCACTCCTCTTAAGCTCACAGAAGATGGGGAGATGATAATCAAAACTCATGACCAGATGCCTGCAGCCCACTCCTTTTAGCCCATAGTTCGCTTAATTATCATTGTAAAAATTATGTAAAACTTCTTGTCAATGGCAAGCACGTGTGTCTCTTGAGCATGCATCTTTCTTTCTAATAAATTCTGTCTTAAATTATACTTGGGACCCGCTCTGAAATTCTTTTCTGTGACCGAGTTAAAGAACAGATGGAGCAACACATCACACTCCACCTGGCATCAATATAGGCATGAGCCACCGTGCTGGCCCTAGACTTAAATTAGCTCCTACAGCCTACCTTTTGACAAACTCAATAACTTTCTCAGGCACTAAGTTTAGTAAAGCATGTCTTACACCTAGGAAACAAGGACAAGTATACCTACTGCCCAATTTCCTAAAAGCATAACGTTTTCCCATGAAGTCGTCTAAGGAGGAAGCTAGAGTTGGTTTAGTGAATTTCAAAATGTAAGGCTATGGAAGCAACATAACAATACAGTCAGACTTTAAATAATTTAGAAAGCAAATACAACTGAAATCATATTCTTTAGTTTTTCTAAAACTTTGTGCTTTTCTGACTTTAATGTGCATACAGATTGGGTCTCTTGTGGGAAAAAAAGCGACTGATTCAGTAGTTGGGGTAGGGCCTGAGAGTCTGCATTTCTATCCTTCTCCCTGGGGATACCTATGTTTTTGGTCCATGGGCCACCTCAGAATAGCAAGGATGTAGCAGAGAGCTTTGAGAGGAGAATGTCTATGTAGCTGACCAGATCAGTGACATGAGTGACTGTCACAGCCAGGTGCATTCAAATGTACAATTTCTTACTCAAAGTAGAAATAGTCTTCCCTATATTTTGATGACCCAAGTATAATTTAAGACTTTTCATTAATTCATGATTTTGA